GCTGGTCACCCTGCTGGTGACAGCCCAGGACACACAGGGTGGTTTCTGGGCTCCAGCACATGATGCTGGCTCCTGTTGAGCTTCTCCTCACCCAACACCCCCAAGTCCTTCTCCTCAGGGTTTCTCTACATCCTTTCTCCTCCCAGCCTGGGTCTGTGCTTGGGATTGCCCCCACCCATGGGCAGGACCTTGCACTTATCCTTTCTGAACTCCATGAGGTTGGCATGGACCCACCTCTGCAGCTTGTCAAGAGGAGTGAGCAAAAAACTGTGAGCATTTAGCAGGCAAAAACTCTGCTTCAACACTGAAAACAACCCTTATGTCCTGATGAACAGTTAAATCCTCTTCCGTCACCCTGACTAGCAGCAAGTGACAGCCCAAAGGGAAAATCTTTTGATACAGAAGGTCAGATACGACTTCAAAACACCAGCAGTTGTTAGACCTGTGACATAGACCAGTTAATAAGTGTGAAACCTACCCCTGTCCTGCTCTGCAAATGTGGCAGTTTGTTGGCAACACAGATTTCAGCCTTTGAGAAGAGGTGATGGCTCTTCAGGCACTGGAGAACCTCACTGGGATCCACCTTCTGGCTGGTGGGTAGGGCAGACACACACCTGCACAGAACAGGAACAGCAGCATTTCCTATGAAGCCTCACCAGGGGTGTTTATCCTCCAATAATGCGTTCTCCAAAGCTCCAGCAGGCAGGCTGCAGTTGAGGGTAACTTGTCCCTGCTGTGAGGCTCATGGTGCTGAGCTGGGATTTCCAACCCCAGTTCCTGTGCCTGAAGTCACGTAGACAAGAACTCCCAGTTCTGTTACCCAGACATGTGCTTCAATACTCAAGCACTTGGTTGAAAAGTCTCCTTCCAGAAGATGGATCTACCTTGCTCTTAACCCAACTTGACTCAGTTTGTCACAGAATCATGGAATGGTTTGGGTTGGAAGGGACCTTAAAGATCATCCAGTTCCAACCCCCCTGCATGGGCAGGGACACCTCCCACCAGCCCAGGCTGCTCCAAGCCCCATCCAACCTGCCCTTCAACACTGCCAGGGATGGGGCAGCCACAGCTTCTCTGGGCAACCTGGGCCAGGGTCTCACCACCCTCACAGGGAAGAATTTCCTCCTCATGTCCAACCTAAATCTCCCCTCTTCCAGTTTAAAGACATTCTCCCTCATCCCATCCCTCCCTGCCCTTGTCCCAAGCCCCTCCCCAGCTTTCCTGGAGCCCCTTCAGGCACTGGAAGCTGCTCTAAGGTCTCCCTGGAGCCTTCTCTTCTCCAGGCTCAACACCCCAACTCTCCCAGCCTGTCTTCAGAGAAGACCTGCTCCAGCTCTCCCAGCATCTCCAGGGCCTCCTCTGGACTCTCTCCAAGAGCTATTTCTAGAACCCTACTAGTGAATTTTACTGTGTCTTCCTCATTTTCCTGTACATCTCCCACCTCTTTAGAAGACAACCCCATTTCTCTCCCGGCAACAGAATAAAATGGAAGAAGACCCCAAAGCAAGGAAGGTCTGAGGATCTACAAGTACAACCTTAAGTGCTGAAGTGGACTCACCTGATCAGCCCCAACACACATTCCTCCTGCTCCTTTTTTATGGCAAAATCCTGCAAGATCTGCTCAACTCTATGCAGGGCCGTGACCTCCTTCATCAGGTACCGGTGGTAGAGCTTCTTCCAAGGAATGAACTGGAATGGGAAGCACACACCAGCATCTTTCAGCTCAGAGCCTTGGAAACCAGGTTTCTTCTGGCCATAAACTAATCAATGGGACTTCCAGAGAAGACCTGGAGTTCAAAAATTCCCTGTGGTTTGATGGAAACGGGTACCTGGGATGAGATGGGGAAGGAAAGAGAGGATGGAGAGAAAGGCTTGTTCCTCACAGCCTGAAAACTTGTCTAGAAGGGGCTGTTTTTTTCTGGAATGGCAGGAGAAGGGTGACAGAGATTTAGTTTCCAATGTCAAACTCTTAAAGGAATGAGGGTATTTTCAACTCAGAATCACAGGATGGTTGGGGTTGGAAGGGACCTCTGGAGATCTTCTAGTGCAACCCACCTGCAAGAGAAGATTCACCTAGAGCAGGTTGTACAGGATGGTGTCCAGGAGAGTTTTGAATAACCCTATTGCACAGATCTGCTCTGGGCAGGGGCTGAGTACTTAAAATCCATGTATCTCTGAAGCCCTGGTCTCCCAGATCCTGTTGGTTGGAGTCATATGGGAAAAACAGGCAGGATGATGCCTTTGAGGTTGTGCTACAGGGTGAAGAATAGCCTTGGGAGAGAACTTGAGCACTCCATGTTTCCTACACATCTCTTCAGGGTGAAAACACACTGTGCTGATAAAGAGCTGAGTCTGGACACGTCCTGTGTTGTGTGGTTGACATTCTGGAGAACATGAATGTCATCCAGGGCCTTGACAGGCTGGAGAGGTGGGCCTGTGCAAACCGCATGGAGCTCAACAAGGTCAACTGCAAGGTCCTGCACAGGGGTCAGGATAATCCCAAGCACAAATCCAGGCTGGGTGGAGAATGGATGGAGAGAAACTCTGAGGAGGACTTGGGGGTGTTGGGTGAAGAGAAGCCCAACAGGAGTCAGCACCGTGTGCTGGAGCCCAGAAACCACCTGTGTCCTGGGTTGTCACCAGCAGGGCCAGGGAGGGGATTGTCCCCTCTGCTCTGCTGAGACCCCCCTGCAGGGCTGGGGCCACCTCTGGGGTCTCCAACACAGGAAGGATGTGGAGCTGTTGGAGAGAGGCCAGAGGAGGCCCCAGAGATGCTGGGAGGGCTGGAGCAGCTCTGCTCTGGAGCCAGGCTGGGAGAGTTGGGGTGTTGAGCCTGGAGAAGAGAAGGCTCCAGGGAGACCTGAGAGCAGCTTCCAGTGCCTGAAGGGGCTCCAGGAAAGCTGGGGAGGGACTTGGGACAAGGGCAGGGAGGGATGGGAGCAGGGGGAAGGGTTTCCAGCTGGCAGAGGGAGCTGGAGCTGAGATGTGAGGGAGAAATTCTGTGCTGTGAGGGTGGGGAGAGCCTGGCCCAGGTTGCCCAGGGAAGCTGTGGCTGCCCCATCCCTGGCAGTGTTGAAGGGCAGGTTGGATGGGGCTTGGAGCAGCCCGGGCTGGTGGGAGGTGTCCCTGACCATGCAGGGGGGTTGGAACTGGATGAGCTTTAAGGTCCCTTCCAACCCAAACCATTCCATGATTCTCTGCTCCTACAGCAACACACACAACCACAAGACTAACCCAGAGCAGGAGAAGGGACAGGCTCAAATCAAGATCACCAAAGTCCTCACCAGTGGATCACTGATTATCTCTCTCCAGCAGCGACACACCAGGCTCAGGTTCTGATACAGATCAGTCACTGGCAGGAAAGCAAAGATGTTCCTCAGGACTTCAACAGGCAGCTCCTCAATACTTCCCTGAGGAACTTCCCAATTCCGAGTCCCCAGGAGTCCATAATGTGCATCAGGGACTGGCTCAATGTCCATATCATCTAGTTCCTCCTTGACCCGGCTGTGTTCAGGATGAACCACAACTGGCTTCTTCTCAAGCTCACCCCACAAATCCTGCTCTAGCTTGTGAACACCTGCAGATGCAGTGGACAGAGCTGGTTTTCTGGGCTTTTTCCTGGGAGTTGGTACAAAGTCCTCATCCTCCAGAAAGGAGCAGGAATCACAGGTGGTCTCCATTGCAGTGGAGACTTTGCTGAAGGAATCAGTAGGTTCCTCAGAGATGGGATCCAGCAGCTCTTCTTTGATTTTACTGTTCTTCCAACTGGCACTAACTTGTCGTGTCTGAGAGATCCCAAAGAAATCCCTGATGCTCTTCTGCTGACCTTGGCCTGCAGAAAGAAGAAGAACATGAGTGAAGTTAACAGAAAGAAGCACCAAGTGCACTGCTTCTAACTGAGCTAACAAGGAGGCCAGAGGTTGTGTAAGGTGGTAGTTATTTCCATGGGGTTCCTCACAGAGGTTACTACAGCTGAACTGTCCTGCTCCGTGTTGCTTCTCTGGCAACCTCTGGAAGACAACAGAATTACACTGGTCTCTTGGCATTGTCCCTGTAATCTGGTGCTCTCAAGGTCCACCTGACACCTCCACTAGCTTCTGGAAGATCTGGTCTCCACAACAACCTCTGAGACCAACAACCCTTAGCTACCCAACACAGCAGAGAAGTGCTGGACAGACACAGAACAGATTTCATGGCACATGTTCCCAAACAGGCAAAGAAACAGAAACAGGGAGGAAAGCAAACATGAGACCTGAGCTGCTGTGCTGTGCCTCAGGCTGGGCTCCCACCAGTTATTTATTGTCCTTAACCCAGTGAAGGAGAAGGACACTTCAGGTTTTAGAAAAGGGTCCCAAGCCTCCAGCAGGCTCCTCCCACCACAGCAGAAGGGAAATGGATGCCTTGAAGAGGATAAACATCCATTTCTGGACAGATATTTTCTGGCTGCAACGTCATAAACCACTGGAGAGGAAAAAGGAAACTGAAACTTGGCAAGAGTCTCTCTCAGCAGCCTTTCCTTTCTCTTGAGAGCCAGACAGTCCAAGGAGGACACAAAGCCTAGAAGCACTGATACTACCCATTCTGTCCTGCTCCTCTTCTGCAAAACATGCTGATCACAGAATCATGGAATGGTTTGGGTTGGAAGGGACCTTAAAGATCATTTAGTTCCAATCCCCTTGCCAGGCAGGGACACTAAGAGAAAAAAAAAAAAATCACAAGCAGCTACTGGTGCTTTTCATTTATTTTATTTCTGGGTGCTCATGCAGGGATTGTTTAAAGAGATCTTATTTGCTGCTTAAAAAAGAACAGCCTCTGTGTTTATGTCCAAATCCAACACCCTAAAACCTGCAGCACTTAAGATCTGAGGGTCTGTCAAAGTGAGATAGTCAAAGATATTGCTGATATGGAAATGGAAAAGAAAAGCATGTCCAGGAGCACAGAATCTAGGTCCCTGATGTCTCATCCTGGCTCACTAGCAGATGTTCTCTGTGAAGTGAGTCAGCTCAGACCAAGACACAGACATATTCCCAAGCCTCCCAGGGAAACACCAACATGCTCCAAAGTCTCACCTTCCTCAGTGGCCAAAGCACTCAGGAAAAAATCAGGATGTTTTTTTCTTTGCTTTCCACCTGTCTCCTTGCCCACACGTGTGTGTGTGGTAACACCTCTTGTCATTACACAGGTTTTGAGACTGGGCCTTTGACCCTGTCTCATGAGCTGCTGGCAAACAACTCTTCCACCTTCAGTCCCAGCCCTGAGCCCCACCCTGTGCTGATCAGCTCAATCTTACCAGTTCTCAAAAGCCCTTTGGCACTTTTGACACCCATGTCACTATCACAATGTTTTCCACTCCCAGGAAAGATAATTCACACCTGTTAAGTGCTCAGCAACACTTCTGCAGCCCTGTGTGTTTAATAAGTAAAAAAGCATCTAGAAGCTGGAGTCACATCATTAATAGTGCCTAATGTTGGAGCCAGTCCAGAGGAGGCCACAAAGTGATGAGATGATGACCTCAGAGATCATCCAGTTCCAACCCCCCTGCATGGGCAGGGACATCTCCCACCATTCCAGGCTGCTCCAAGCCCCATCCAACCTGCCCTTCAACACTGCCAGGGATGGGGCAGCCACAGCTTCTCTGGGCAGCCTGGGCCAGGGTCTCACCACCCTCACAGCAAAGAATTTCCTCCTCTTGTCTCACCTAAATCTCCTCTCTTCCAGTTTTAGTCCATTCTCCCTTTGTTCTCTCACTTCCTGCCCTTGTCCCAAGCCCCTCCCCAGCTTTTCTGGAGCCCCTTCAGGCACTGGAAGCTGCTCTAAGGTCTCCCTGGAGCCTTCTCTTCTCCAGGCTCAACACCCCAACTCTCCCAGCCTGTCTCCAGAGCAGAGCTGCTCCAGCCCTCCCAGCATCTCTGGGGCCTCCTCTGGCCTCTCTCCAACAGCTCCATGTCCTTCCTGTGTTGGGGACCCCAGAGGTGGCCCCAGCCCTGCAGGGGGGTCTCAGCAGAGCAGAGGGGACAGTCCCCTCCCTGGCCCTGCTGGTCACCCTGCTCGTGACAGGCCAGGACACGGGGGGTTTCTGGGCTCCAGCACAGTCAGCTCATGTGTTGCCACACAACATCTCTCCCATTTGCACTCACCTACCCTGGCACTGCTCTCCTCTCAGCCCCAGTCCAACCACAGACAGCACAACCCCCTTTTTGTTCCACGCCCTCTTAGCACCCTTTTTTCTCCCCCAAATCCCCTCACCCTTCAAAGGGTTCCCAGCCAGCCTACCTCTTGGGCCTCCCCGTGGCCGGTAGGTGGGATGGAGGCCCCTGTTGATATCTCCTCTACTTCTTCTTTGACTCAAAGGCTGGGTCAGGGAGGATGAACCTTCTGGGCTCCGTGCAAGAGCTTCGCAGTCCTCGGCCGTGAGGCGGGTTATCTTGAACAGCTTCGTGCCTTCACCAACATGCAAAGAGAGAAAAAAAACCCAAAACCCCCAAAAACCCATGAGCAAACAACAGGAGACACAATCCAGGCCTTCAGCAGAGGCAGAAGTACAGTTTATTTTCAGAAATGTTATGGGACATTCTGTAGAGCCCTGAAAAGAAGACAAACTGGACACTGTGCTGGGGGCCTTGTTTGATAACCACCTGGACCCTGTAGCCCCTCTTTTGGCAGCCACCCTGATAAATGGGTCACTGTCCTTGCAAGGGGAGCCCCTCCTTTGGCAGCCACCCATGGGACTCTGTCCTTCCTTGATAAGGAGCAGCAAGAGGAGGAGGTCCAGTGCCACGTTGGAAAGACCACTGTCCTGCTTAAGGGCAGAGAGCATGTGTGAGAATAAAGGCCACTGTTCAGTCAACTTGGATGGGGGGGGATGGGGACAAGTGATCACCTGGACCCCCTGTGCCCACTGACTCATTTCTAGAACATTCCCAAACCCAACACTGAGTCTGCAGCAAGTAGGTTGAACCTCAGCTGGAGAGGTGGGGCCAGCAAAGAGGCAGCCTCAAAAGGCTTGGGGTGCAGCCAAGGACCATGTCATGCTGAGACCATCACTGGATCCAAGGGTGGTGACATCGTTCCTATCCCCTTTCTTCATCTCTGTCTCTCTCTTCATCTCTCTCCTTCTCTCTGTTTCTAACCTGATTCTCAGCACACAGGGGCAACATCATTTCTCATTTTGCCAGGCTCCTCCAGCTGTGACCTGTTGCTTCTGCCAAGTTCTGCAGGTTGCCACCTGCTGCTTTGAGAGTGATCCTGTTGTGTGTTTTCCTTTAGAATCTTCCTCAATGTTAAGCAAAGGTGTGTTTTGTGAAAGCCTCCTGGGTGATGGCCTTACTCCTCAAATACTGCCCAGAGAATCCCTGAGCTTCATCTCCCCAGATGGGTTGTTAAAAGAGATCAATTAAGAGAGGAGGGCTGGATCTGAATTCCCATGGGTTGACCCCAAGCTCTGGGGAACCCCAGCTGTACCCACCTTGTGGGACATGATACAATCACAGTGTTTCAGCCAATCTTCTCTGAATAAACCAGAGCAGAAGCTTGTACAAGTCACAGAGTCATGGAATGATTTGGGTTGGAAGGGACCTCCAAGATCCTCTAGATCCAACCCCCCTGCATGGGCAGGGACACCTCCCACCAGCCCAGGCTGCTCCAAGCCCCATCCAACCTGCCCTTCAACACTGCCAGGGATGGGGCAGCCACAGCTTCTCTGGGCAACCTAGGCCAGGCTCTCCCCACCCTCACAACACAAAATTCCTTCCTCATGTCCAGCCTAAATCTCCCCTCTTCCAGTTTTAAGCCATTGCCCCTTGCCCCATCTCTCCCTGCTCTTAACCTGTGTTGACAGGCTAAGGAAGACAATGCTTTGTGTCAAGGTGACACACCTGCAGTCCCTGCAACAGCAGCTTCACCCCAGGTCCCCACTCCTGCTGCCTTCAGGGCTGCAGAGCAAGAGAGAACAACTCAAAACCAGAATCCATGCAAGTTTGGGGGCCTTGTTTGCAACAGCACCATGGAGGTAGCAGATGCAAAGCAGCCTGTGGAGCCTGAACTGCACAAACCACATGAGAGACAAAGGTGACTTGGCCAGGGGAGGTCAGAGCCAACATTCCAACACACAAACTTGAGCCTCAGGCAAAGAGGTCCAAGCCAGGATCCTCCACTGAGGAGGAAACAAAACCCCAGCTCTTCCCCACCAGCAGGACACTTTCAGAAGCAGCACAGCAGGGTTATTTGAAGAAAACCTTGAGATCTGCACAAGCTCCTCTCTTCCATCCTGACGTGGGACACCCAGCAGAAAGGCAACAAACCCCACAACTTTTTTTCTATCAAAACTACTCAGGAGAAACCCAAAACCAGGGCAGAGGAAGGGGCTGCCCCCCCTGACAGGGTTAGCAGCAAACTTCACTCCTGTGGTTTCACTTCCACTTTATTCCTGCTCCAAGCTGTGGAGGAGAAGCCTCTCATGGCTCATGGTGGCCACCAAAGCCACAGGCTGCCCATGTTGCTGCTTCCTCCTTCTCCTCCACATCAGTTTGACTGAGCAGCCTTAAAAATCAGCCCCTGAGCTCCCAGAGGGGCTGATTTCCTCACATCCCACGCTCCTCCAAACACAGCAAATGGGGCAAGCAGAGGGGAAAAGGACCACAAAAGACAGTCTCGTGGTGCTCAGGGACATGGTTTAGTGGTGGACTTGGCTGTGACTCCACGATCTTAAGGGTCTTTTCCCACCTGAAAATGATTCTGTTATGATTCCACTTTCAAATGCCAATTCTCACTTGAAAAATATATATTTTTGGGGGGGTTAATCAGCACGAATGACTGAAGCAGCACAAATGACTGAAGCACCCCAGTTCTCTGAACCACACAGATCCCAGCAAACAGCACCAGCTTCTGTGCCTGTTCCTGGAGCTGCTGGACACAGAAAGGTCCCATGAGAGATCAGATGTAGGGATGGGGGCAAAACCTCAGCTCCCCTAACCCCAGGGTCCAGACACCCAACCCAAGCAGATGAACCCGCTCACCTCTGTTCATGTTTTCCCCCTTTTCCCAAGATTTTCCATGGGTGCCAGCAGCAGACCCAGGAGTGCTGAGGACAAGTGGCCTCTCACAGGGTCCCCATCGTGGTTTATTGGCCTTGATCCTGCAAGGAATGTGAGAGGGAATGAAGCTCCTCAGCTGGGAAGTGAAGGGACCAGCCCTGAGCAGCAGCCAGGAGGGCCTGGGAAGATCCAGGTGGGCAGGAAGTGATTTGGGAGGAGGTTGGAGCTGCTCCCACCCTCCCCCAGCACCTTGTCTCCCCCAGCCTCGTGCCCCCCTCCCCCAGCATGAAGAGACC